CTGCTATGATTCTGATATAGCCATAACATGTGCTTGTGTCTGAGCAAGTACGTATTACTTTGAATTCATCCAGTTTAGGTACAAGTCTTCTCATATTTAAATGACAGATTTTAAAGCCTCTAATTTTATCTAGTTGATTTAGAGTCCCTGGATTTTTTTAGACAGGAAAATTACTTTTGCTTTCTTACTGATGTATTGTTCAGACTTGACATAACAGGAGGTTGTCTAACCTTTTCAGGATATAATATATATCCCTGTGTAGACTAATAGAGTTGGATTTATATAAGATACACCTGTGCACAAACCCAGGTCAAGATAATTATTAAAAAAACATATGTATAAAATCCCATAAAATATAAAAAAGTGGACGTAAAAACATTTTTATCTGGACCTGGATTAAYTTCAATATTTCCAATGACTAAAAGAATATTAAACAGAAGTTTTACAGTAAATGTTGTTTCCGACTGGTTAAAACAGAGTCTGTTATATCCGTGCCTTTAACACTAATGTCTTTTGTCTACTGATGAAAAACAGTAACATAGGCCAAAATTACTATCCGATCAGGTGAGGTTCTGAAGCCAGTCAGTAGCTTGCTGTTCTTTTCTTCGCTGAATGGCGTATACTTCAAGGCTTGAATATGTCGAGTGGCCAGAGCCTGTAAGATGATTTACAAAACAATAAATAACGTCAGACAATCACCCCCACTCCTGGGGTGTGAGTTGTATGGATTTTTGAGGCTCTTTATACAGGTAAATGTCCGAAAAGGTTGACATGTATGGAGAAGTTCACTTATCCAATACAGAATCTGAGTAGAGTCGCTGCTCGTCCAAATTGAGGAGCCAGTGGAGGTTGTTCAGGCATCTGGTAAGGATGCCTTCTGGATGTCTCTTTAGGGAGGTGCACCAGGCATGTCCGAATGGGAGGAGACCCCGGGGAAGACCCAGTACATGCTAGAGAGACTATGTCTCTCAACTAACCTGGGAATGCCTTGGAATCCTCCCAAATAAGGTGGCTGAGGAAAGTAAAGTCTTCTCAAGCTGCAGTCCCCGCAATCCAAGTAGGAATAAGCAAAACACAAWGGCTTTTGGATGGATATTTCTTAAATGTTAGATCAAATGTTGGATCTACAGAATAAACACTGAGAAGAATGTAACTTTATTCACTGACCTTTTTCAGTTCTGATCTTTTAAAACATTTTTGTTGCTGTTTTCATTTTCCTCCTCTGTCCTTCCTCCAGACTGGCAAAGTCCACGTTGACTCTCATCCCCCTACTCGGTATTCACGCCATCCTTTTCACCTTCGTCATTGATGAGTCTGTCCCTAAAGGCTCCATGCTTCGTCTTATCCGCCTCTTCTGTGACCTCCTTTTCAACTCCTTCCAGGTCTGAACTCAACGCCACAAAAAACTTTTCACAAACACTTTTTCCTTGACATGTGCTTAATTTTTAAGGCAGACAAGTTTATTTCTTAGTTGGTTGCTTCTTTAAGAAGAATGTCAGAAATCAGACTTAGTTCTCTATAATAAGTGTGCGGCATTCATCTAAAATATTTCTACTACGATTAAATTAAGCCTGTAGTTTAAAAATTTAGATTGTTAAAATCAAACTTATTTTGTCTATATTAGAATACCTCAACCTCATTTACACAACCAAAAATTCCTTTTTTATTACATTTTTTAGTTTATTAAAAGTATCATCCTTTATATTTTAACATTGATATTTAATTACATGTGCTAGAACACTAAATGGGAAGAATATTTAAAATGGAGACATCTAAATATAAAAAAATCATAATTTTTAAAGCAAGTCTGGGTTTTTATTTTGATAACATATAGCAAGGGTGTCAAAACTCTTTTTTACCGAGGGCCACATGAGCGTTATGGTGGCCCTAGAAGAGCCACTTCAATTCAGTTCAATTCAATTTCAAATTCAAAATCCTGCTGGTTTCATCTTTAGATTGTTCTTTTTAATGTACAGTGCCCTGAGACAACGTATGCTGTGACTTGGTGCTATATAAATAAATTGAATTCAGTTCAATTCAATTCATTTCAATTCAGTTTATTTATATAGCGCCAAGTCACAATGAAAGGTAGCAGAAGAAAAAAATCTTATCTGCCCCCATTTTCAAAAAACGTTATTGCTTTCAAATAATGGTAATCAAATAATAAAACAAAACTAAAAAATCAACTCCTTAAACAGTAACTCTTACAAATACAAATTATAAAATTTCATATTTCTTTAAC